TGAGATCCATCTGCTGAAGGTCAGCAAGGTAACTTATCTAGATCTGCGACTCTTGATCATCTTAAAAATGAGATCAATAATTTATTAAATCTCACAGGCGTAGATCAAAATGAAGATATTGTTTTCCAGGACAAACAAGGATGATTGATGACAAGTAATGTACAATTGTCAGATACACTTGTACGAAATCCTACCGCGTTTGTTGATAATATTGTCACTTTTGCTGGTTAACGATTTTATCAGGCGAGCTGGTAATTTGTTCACGGGAAACATCATCATGAACCAAACTAAAATTACATACTTTGGAGATTCAACCGCAGATATGGAAGTGGCAACATAAAATATGTCGATGATCAAAATCTTAGTACGTATTAGTGCGCGGTTGTATAATGCGGGCATTTCTCAACGCGAATAATAATGGTATCAATAATCTCAGAACATCAGTCTGATTTTGATGCTGTAACGAAGAAATATGTCGATGATAAGGAAGTTCTAATAACAACTTCGCTAAAAACAATCAATGATAAAATAACCACAATTAATACCAATTATTCTGATCACGTACAAACGTTTTTAAATTTTCATAGAAATATAAACAGAACCACTAACGAATTTTTGGGAAATCCACGAAATGTTGACATAAAACTCGCCGACATGAACACAAAATTAAACAATATTGTTGTGGGGAAAAAAAGAATCTGATTAAAATTCCGCACATATTAAAAATATTGTTTTTTCAGCATCAAGAGTATCAGCATGGATACCAGAAAATAACTCTATTAAATATACCTCGGTTCTCGGTACTTAGTTCTGGAAAAATTAAAATATTTACAACATTTTCGTGGTGTCATTCAACTGATGATTTTCTTCTGTAACCGTATCCATGTTGTTAAAAAAGATGCTGAAGAAGAATTTATACTAGAACCGTCTGATAAAAAATTAAACGTAGCGTCTTATTTTATGTGTCTGGAATTTGTAGCTGAAACACCGAAAGTACTTACTTAATCAAACCACTATTGTATAATAAAAAAATGTAGAGTTTTTTTCTAATCATATTTAAAAAGAAATTCCAAAAGAAGATGTGGATACGTTAATGCAATATTACAGATATTATCATAAAAACGTTGGTGCGTAAAAAGTGTTACAAATACTATACCAAAATACTCCGAGTGATATCATATTTACCCCTGCCAATGCCTAGCTCTGGTATAATTTCAACATAGAGCATCACTAAATCCGATTTTGTTGATCATATCCAGTGGCGGTGTTTCTCTTTCAACATCGTGTAAAAAGTTTGAAACTCGACTCGCGACTTAAAAAAAAAAATGCTTGCTAAACAGTAAACATCACCTATAAACAATTACTTGATCAGATACGATCTTTTTTGCGGTGTATAAAGTATGATATGGACGATTTAATACGAGAGTTCCGTATTATTGACAGTATACTGACATATATCCTACCCACGAGAGTCAGCAGGTATTAAAATAATTATCAAAGAAAGTATAAAATTTTGTGTGAACAATAAAAATAATGTTTGAAAATTTGACAGTCTCCGAGGGTTGGAAAAGGTTTTTGAGCCAAAACCAGCACGCTAATTTTAAGAAAAATCGTTTTGGAATGGCATCGGGAGAGAGTGTGTCTCTGAGATGGATATTTATAATTGTTTGGAGAGTTGGAAAAGGTCTTTGAGCCAGAAAACAATCCCTTACACCTGCTACTGATATGAGCGGAGGTGGCTATGTGTATGCCAATTCTTTGCTCAACTTGGCTACTGCCGACAGCTATTTATATAACAGGCAGTGGCAATGTGCATGTTATACCTTGCTCAACTTGGCTACTGCCGACAGCTATTTATATAACAGGCAGTGGCAATGTGCATGCCATATTTTACTCAGTTTTACCTACCTTTGACAGGTATTGATATGACAGTGACTTATACTATTCAGTTATTTATAGGACAGGCAGCGGTAATGTGTATACCATACCTTATTCAGCTTGGCTACTGCTGATAGCTATTTATATAACAGCCGGTGGCAATGTGTATGTCATACCTTTTACTCTGCTTGCCTACTGCTGACAGCTATTTATATGTTTATGTGACAGGCAGTGACAATGTGCAAACCATAATTTGTTTAGTTTACCTACTTCAGACAGCTTTTAATATGACACGTAGAGATATTGTGCATGCCGTACATTACTCAGTAATTTATAAGATAATCAGTGGCAATCTGCATGACATACCTTACTCGGCTTGCCTAAAGCTGACAGCTACTTACATGGCATAACAGGCAGTGGCAATGTGCATGTTATACCTTGCTCTGCTTGCCTACTGCTAATAGCTATTTATATGACAGGCAGTGGAAATGTGCATGTCATACCTTACTCAGAAATTTATTTAACAGGCAATGGCAACGTGATTGCCATACCTTACCCAGCTTACTAGTATCATAATTGTAAGTAAATCAACCTGATGTGTAAAATTGTGGATACACAAACTAATTATCCCCAACATGGGCTTTTTCTCAGTGAAGCCACATCAATGTGAACATTAATCTTAATTAATCTTAATAATTAATCATACTTGAAAATAATTATCAGAAAAGTTTTTTCAGCTTTAATGCGGAAACATATCAGTTAATTTGAACGGTACTTCCTTCATCGATGAGAGGTACATCGATATTCGTTTACACCGTTACTTATTTTGTAAACTAAACAATCGCTTCTACAGGTCATAAAGGTCTCACTTTTGAGAATTTGATTATCGTCCCTCAGAATAGCAATTATTCAGTTATTTCACTGCTCGTCAGTCAATATTCCTTGCAATATCTTGCATAACAACAACAGGAAATGCATCTGACAAAATCAGTGTTAAACAATGTCGACATTTTAAAACAAGGACAAACGAAGATGTGTGACCCAAAGACAAAGAGGATTTAATATCGAGTGCAATAACAATACAATCAAAACCTCGCGTATTGCAAAATAGTTGTATTACCCCTACCAACACCAGCACCAGCAACCACACCCCCAAGGACTAGTAATAATGTATATTTTTAATATCAAACGACAAGTTCAGCTGTTTAGTTATTGTTGCTCCAACTTATAAGTTACCGTCAAAATGGCGGAGATAGTAGCATCATCAGCAGTCAAAGAAAAATATTCTCGACAATATTTATCAAACTTTCTGTTCTTGCAAAGTTGTGTATGCTTAATAATTAAATCATAATTTCCAGTTTAATCTTAGTAATATTTTCATTCTTAAATTTAAAATAAAGCTTTCGTTATGTAATCGCACCCGTTAAATGTATGTCGTACATGTATAATTGAAATATCAAGCACTTTTCAGTTTTACAAATATTTATTTATTTATTTATTTATTTATTTATTTATTTATTTATTTATTTATTATCAGTTAATAATTTAATTACGTTTAGAAACTCAACAAAGTTACAATAAATAAATAATCTATTCAAATTTTCCTTAGTGATTTATCCCACGTCATCATGCATACTCAGTTTAATGGATAAAAACATAAAAACATTTAAGGTGTTATTGATAAGCCAGAGTATTTGATTTATTGCAGATCAATGTTAAATGATCATTTTTCATAATCCCCTGAAAATGAAAGAAATAAAAATGACACATTGTAATAGCGTCAGGCACGTTGACAGGAGTAAGTTTTCGTCCGCTTTTACATTTGTTTGTTAATTTGTGTGACTGATTTTTATCTTGACTGGTGTCAAAACATTGGACAGGTGTTATAAAATCAGTAATTGATAAGAGATACGTTTCCCTCGAGTCAACAGGGCAAAAACACAATAAATGACAGGATATAACTTGCTGTTATTTATAATCTCAGGCTTAATAAAGACAAAAAAAAAAACATTGTAGTACAGTTACAGCATTTCATAAAGTTCAAATATCGTTTTAAAGCTTCATTATAAAAATGATGTTCAAGTACTGATGTTGAGTAGGACCATTCCGGAACTTAAGGTATAGAGTGGTGTTTTGTCAACTTTACACCAGTTATAAGTAGATTTTAAAGTTTGAAAATATTTAACAAAGTCAACATTAATGAAGTATGATGCAGGATTTCAACGTTAAACGTACTAAAACGATAACAAAATAAACAACACATATACACACAGCATTTTATTTACAGGCTCGAATATGATATACAGTTAGAAAATTAGCATACAATTAGCATAAGATTTCTTTTCACAAGTACAACAAATATTGCAATTATTTTAAAACAGTTTTCTTTATTTATACATAACATATCATAACATATCACTTCCAACGCAGACATTTTTTTTTCAGGATGGTTTTTGGTTTGGGAAAATTTACCCAAAATATCACTCTTGCATCCGTTCATGATAAGGCTAGTCTGCATTGCATTAACCCAAGCACAACGGCAAACCATTTTTCTGATAACTTTTCGGAGATCTTCTGCGTTATCTGTCAAATTCCTCTGCAAGGTAATACGAACGTAATCAAGCATGGTCTTTTCTTTGTGTGCAAATATGGTTAATAGGAACACGTGACTACGCAGGTAATTCAATGCATATTTTATGATTGGTGGAAAATAATTAATGTGCCCAGTTTGATTGACAGATCGAAACTATCCCTTGCACCCAACATTACTGGGGGGGGGTAGTGCCCGGCTCTCTCGTAAACGCCTATTTTGTCTGGAAGTTTTGTGATGTTAACTAAGACGTAAATCACATAACAATAAGAAATAAACATTTTAAAAATACAATAGTATTAAACTTTTCAACGACAATTAAGGCGCCCACATGACAACGTTTACATACTCTTCAAACAGAAATGTAATATATACTGTAACCAGAATCAGACAGTCGAGTTCCGTTTAGCTGTACCGTGTGTGGATTTTTCACCAGAGAACATAAACAAATCCCGATTCCCTAAACACTTTATCTCAGACGAATGCCTTGATATGACTGCCGTAGCTTCTCGATCCTCACAGACCATATTCTTTCTCATCGCTCAGGTGTCCTAGTGGTTAGAGCGTCCGCCTCGGATGCGGGAGGTCGCGGGTTAGAAGCCCGGCTGAGTCATATCAAAGACTTATAAAAAGAGAATGGTACTATCAGCTGCCTCGCTTGGCGCTCAGCATTAAGAGGTTAGTGTTAGGACTGGTCGGTCTGGAATCAGGATGATCTGACTGGGTGAGACATCATGCCACATGTCTGCGGCATGATACCCGAGTGCTAGACATCACTTTAAACTGTTACTTTGCATACATAGTGGCGATTTGACTGAAGAAAAAAAATTCTCTCTCTCTCTCTCTCTCTCTCTCTCTCTCTCTCTCTCTCTCTCTCTCTCTCTCTCTCTCTCTCTCTCTCTCTCTCTCTCTCTCTCTCTCTCTCTCTCTCTCTCTCAATATGTATCTTCTTTGAGACTGTTTGGACCCCAGCGTCGACTAAACCTTTCCCAGACAACTGCGTCACACTTCCGATGCACCTCACTCTGCAAATAACTTTCATCCGCTATCTTAGTGCAAGTGCATAATCTTCATACATTTGTCCCATAATGCACAGCGCCGATATAAAGCTACTAACCCGTAGTTCAGGGTCATAGTTTCCCAGCTAGTCGTTAGGGGAATGTGATCTCAGTTATGCAATGATATCTCTAATTGGGAAACCCGGATTATACTTTTATTGGCCTATAACATTTGCTTGCGAATCTAAACCTTGGTAAATCGCCTCTGCGCATTTTATACGATCACGGTGACTGGATTCTACTTTTCAACGCGATATTGGTGTTTTAGACGCACGAGACGCCGTCAGTATATTGTGACGTCTGCCGCATGTTACTATGTAACACGGACTGTCATGTGCTCCGGTACTGAATACTGAATATGAAGGCTTCTGACTTTTTCCTCTGATGTATTTGTCTTATATATATATATATATATATATATATATATATATATATATATATATATATATATATATATATATATATATATATATATATATATATATATATATATATATATATATATATATATACCAATTCTGCACTTTAGCTATTGCAGTGAAAAGTTCGTAGCAGATGAAATCTCAGCTGAGTGTTATGCGGTGATCAAGTCGTACGCTTTTTGTTTTGTTTTTTTTTTTTGTTTTTTGTTGTTTTTTTTTTTGTTTAGTGTGGGTCAGGTGGCATTTTTACCACGGAACTTCTGCATTGGGGCGGTGGTATCACAACTAAGGGAAGTAACCCAGTTTTCCTTCGAACATAAAATTCTGGACAGACCAGGACTGCCACACGATAAGAACATATTGATGAGTCACGCATTTTTATGGAATCTGTTGACTGCCTGGTGGTTTCATATAATTAATCAAACACACCGTTCACAATTTGTATGCATTTAGATCCTAAAAAGATCGTGTACTGTGTAACTTTTTTTCGAGTAAATCGTTATTACTCAATTAGGGGCCCACAAATTGAAACTCGTTAGAGAACATAAAAATGCACGTGATTCAAGTAGGTAAAACTTTGACCGGTTCTCTTTTGTTGTGATGATGTACTTAAGTGCGAACTTATCATCAGTAATGAATTTTCACAGAGGGCATTTTACATTATCCTGCGAAAGCGTCAAAATGTTCAACATTGGTATCCGATAAACAACGCAAGGCGACGTTTTGAAAAGTCGAAGGTACTCTTCCAAACAATATTTGTAACTTTGCCTTGATGCTATCCTATGTGGAAACGCGGTGTATTATAAAGTTAAAACTAGTCACTATACAGATTTACTGATTTGCTTAATTATGAAGTTAAAGTATTTCGTTCAAATAAAAATCACTTCATAAATGTTAAGAAAATATTGAATACTAATATTTCTTACTAATTTACTTTTTATAAAAGAATATTGCATGGTACCTTTAAAACTTGATATACATAGTTATTGCTTACTCGAGGAGAGAACATTACATGTAAACCAAGTATCTTTGCCTTACCACAGAGGGTTCTGGTGCATCATACATGACCTAACAACACTCCACACTTTGTATTTATTTATTTATGCATTTATATATTTGATTTATTTATTTAGATTTTACAACTATCTATAAATTTTACAACTATGTATAAATTTGCAAAACATATATGAAAATTTACTATTATAATATACTTCGCTAGTTGGGCATGGTTATGATTAATGCGTTAATATTTGTTTTGAATTTAATTTTTAATTAATCAATGTTTTAAGACAACGAATCCAAAAATGTCCCCCATAATTTCCATATCATTTTTGCCATACATTGTTTACAATGTGCCATTTTGAGTTTGCCTCATTCAGGACATTATGAATTACTGCAAACATAATTGACGTGCAAACTATGGATAAGCCCCTGAATTGAGCTAAAACTAAGAGCTCAAAATCTCCATGTAGTAGTCTTTAACACTGGTTTACCTTATTTAGGGAAGATTTAATTCAAGGCATCGTGCATTTGGGTCCGTGACATTGTCTAAAATTTAGTCCATACCAATGTGTCAAAGTCCATCCTAAAAGCTGCAAGGTCAAACAGTCCTCCATGGGGTCACGAAGATTCAAATAACAAATGTAGGATTAAAACTTAAAAGGGACTTTGATGTGTTCTTTATATTTAAAACAAGAAACGTCATATTTAGAACAAACGCTTGGTTTCTTTGTCAAATATTTGCATAGTTCGAGTTTTTCCCTAAAGGCTTATGTACAGGGTCAGAAAGGTACAGTTATTATATCTATACCTGGTCTAAAGGCTAATACAGAATCAGAGTGGTACGAGTCAATGTACCTACAGGCTGATACAAGGTCAGAGAGGTACAAGTCAATGTACCTACAGGCTGATACAGGGTCAGAGAGGTGCAAGTCAATGTACCTACAGGCTGGTACAGGGTCAGAGAGGTACAAGTCAGTGTACCTACAGGCTGGTACAAGGTCGGAGAGATACAAGTCAATGTACCTACAGGTTGATACAGGGTCAGAAAGGTACAAGTCATTGTGGACCGCTCCGGTGGTTTAGTGACGACCGAGTCATACCAAAGTTTTAGAAATATGGTACCAGCAGCTGCCTCGCTAGGCGTTCAGCATTAAGAGCGATTGTTAGGACTGGTCAATCTGGTAACAGGCTAACCTGACTGGGTGGGACATAATGCTTCATGTCTGCTGCATGATGCCTTGTGCTTAGACATTACTATAAACGTCCACACTGCAGACATCGCAAGGATATGACTGACACAATTTTCAAAATCCAAATCACACACACGCACACACACACACACACACACACACACACACACACACACATCACCGTATCTGTACCTAGGCTAAAGGCTGATACAGGGTCAAAGAAGGACAAATCTTATTAAGGTTAAGGTGAAAAATATATCGCACTCTTTGTGTTTTGCGAGTGACAATCATGCAGGAAGGTGCTCTACCATGATGCGATTGTTGACATGATGCGTTTTTTCTGTCTTATTTCACACAGCAATAAAGCTCTTTCTTTCCCCTTTTATAAAGTATTCGGTTGTTAATCATTTGTCATTAATTGTTCATTATTTAGAAAATTTAATCATTTATCACTTTTCCTCAAAAATGATTAATTAATCTTGTATTATTTACTCGTTATCACTCCAATGAACGTGAGACCTTTCAGTTGACTATTCCTCATCAATTAACGGCATATACCTTTTGAAAAAAACCCCAATCATTTTCATCGTTTGAATGTTTACAAAAATATTTAATCTTGTACTGGAATAATCTACATACAAATGTAACTATGTCACTCTCATTGTAATACTTTTTCACTTGATTTACATTTTCTATTTTAAATAAAAAAATTTCTATTATTTAGCTTAGGGATAATTTTTTGAACACTAATTGATTTCATGGTGTAGATTCATTTTCAATCACAATTTCTTTAAAATAAATTTATCAAGCTCTTGAAAATGTGCAAAAATTATTTGACATTTTTCTAATGCAATTTCAAGTGACTTTTAAAATTTTATTTCGAATGAAGAATACGAAATATTTAAAATTAAAAAATTAAAAAAACACTATGACAAAGCCTAATTTGGAAACCTCTTTTGTATCTAATAAAGAGACAGGTAAAGAGCCCCAGGGAATACATATAGCATTCTGTGCTCTGTGCCTTTGATCGTTGTCCTCTAACCTCGAGTGCAGAAAAACTGTCTGATGGCGTCATATCAAGATCGAGACGGAGAGAGTTTCCAGGATGCCAGTCCTTTGTACAATAGTATCAGAAGCAAACAGCTTCTGCAGAATTCTTTTCTACGTTACTCTCATCATTTCTTGCAATGTATGTTTTGCTCTGTATAGTGAATTTTTTTTTACTACATCGAAACGATTTAACTGATTTAGATACCCTTCCCAACACTGTTACCGATAACAAGACAAATACAGGATAGTTCACAGTCAAGCATGTAATTTTTTTTTTTTTAGATAAACACCCAAGAGACGGTAATCTGAGAAATTCAAAATGTCTGCGATGGATAATGATTATCAGTTTCAAATCTGTTAAAAGCTGTATCAAAATCTAGGACTATTTAGATGTACAAATTCTCAACCTAGATGATTTCCTGTTGAATTGCGTATCTATCTATCTATCTATCTATCTATCTATCTATCTATCTATCTATCTATCTATCTATCTATCTATCTATCTATCTATCTATCTATCTATCTATCTATCTATCTATCTATCTATCTGTCTTAATAATAGCAACACATATTCTTATATTTACATGATACGATAAGAGTAGTTATGTTAAAAAACAAAATATACAGCAATGTGTGTTAGTCCATATCTGTTCTCTTGTTCTTTAATTAATGAAAAACTCAAAGTAGATGCTGTTATTCCTATAGAGAGAAAAACTTATGATAAAAACTAGTCAGCTCTAAAAGACGAAGATGATGAAGACGACGACGACAACGGCGATGATGATGACGATGATGATGATGATGGTGATGATGATGATGATGAAACCGGACGGGCGATATGTATCTGCAACCAGACATTCTCCATTTGAATACCTTAATGTGAGAGTTGAACTTCCAGTTTTCTCAAAATAGGCAATTATTTTTAATATTTTCAAATATACTTTTCATATTATAACGTCATTTTTATTTAGGATAAAAAGATATTTAATTTTAACAGTGACCCATCGAGTTTGAGATGTGCCTCGCGATTAAATGGTCGACAAACATTTAAAAGCTGTTTATATGATGCTTCCGGCCCGAAAAGTGCCTCTCATTTTTACAGAAAACCAATCAGAGATAAAATCAATCCGAATGGAAGATGTCAATTTGATCAAGGATCCGTTTGGTCAAGGACCAAGAGGAGCAGACGCCTACAGAACATACGTCCTATGTAGTCTCCGTGCATGAAATAAATATTAAAATACTGATCAGCGTAAGGGAATATTTGTTATTTTGCAAGAAAAAAGTACCCTCCTTTGTTACAACAACTAATATTTTATGTGCGTTAAATGATCTTTATAGGTAGGAATATATGTATTCGAAAACATGTACTATCATTTTAGATTTATTATTTCATTATTTATCTCAAGGACATTTCACGCGATATGCAAAATGTTTTTTTCTTCAGATTGTGGCCTGTAAGAATCTTTGTGATATCCAACAATTAGTGTTGATGCAGGTTTTACGCAGATTAACATGTTTCATCTTTCTCTCTTTATCCTTTATTTGTCGATAAGAAGGATATGTCTTCTCAAAAGATTTTAAAAAATTTAAATTTATTTATCTCGCATGAAAAGACCCACATCATCTTTAACTTTGACTTTATTACTCCATCACACTCCCATCCCACGATCGACATTTACATGTCTACTTGTGGGCTAATGCGCAGTCTGGTACGCCGTGCTCAGTGCAATCCGATGATACAATTATTTGAATACCAGTGCAAAAAAAAAAAAAAGAAAAAAAAAAAAAGAATATAGAACATTTTTTTTAAACAATGATTTCAAACGTTCCTGCTAGACCAGTGATTCCCAACCTCCGAGTCGGGAAGACGAAATGGAAGGTCGCGATGATGTTTTTCTTAATGTGGCTTAACTGATAAAAATGTTGAAATAGGGTAGTGAGGCTCAGAAAACTAGGGTCGCAGCCAGAAATTGTTGGGAACTGTACTAGTGTGCCAGACCAAGGGTAGAAAAGCAGTCTGAAAAAAAAAACTTTGTAACCGTTATATCTATACTTTCCTATTTCCAAAGGAAAAAAGAAAGAGCAGTACAGAAGAAGCTACGTTTATTTACAGAATAAATTATTTATGACTTTTATTGCAGAGGTGCGTGAGATTCTTTCTGTTTCTGTGATATTTAAGTAAGATAAAAAAGCAAAATTATATTAAACAAATATATATATATATATATATATATATATATATATATATATATATATATATATATATATATATATATATATATATATATATATATATATATATATATTTGTAATATTGTAAACTTAATAAATTTGTATCAAGATATCCCGTGCTTCTTTGGTACAATTTTGTTAACTTTATTGTTGCAAAGAATTTTTGGCTTATTGCGTTTTACTGATGGAATCCATAGTTTGCCTATTGCTATTTTGGTGCCACAAGTAATGGTTTTCAATGAATAGTCAGAGCGTATTTCGTTGCATTATTTCACAATCAATTCAACTGAAATGGTTAGAACTGCTATTAGATTGAAGAAATTACCATTATTTACTGATAGTTACCAGTTTTCCCGTACAATATTATACATCAGTTATAATACCACATATTGGGATATATTGATCTTGAAATTCCTAATGTAGCCAGTTCGTACTTTCTTACCTCGAAAGCGTGCTGATGTGTCAGTATCACAGAGGGATTCAAAGTTAAACTCGGCAGGTTTGTTTTGAAAGATGTCAAAGGACCTTCTGCCGCCGCGTAATGAGTGCTAGATCGTGTTCCTATATTTCCGGGAATTCTGGCTAATGTCTGGGATCACGATTAAACGTCTGTTAATTTTCTGCAAAACATTGCAAAGCAAACATCGCACGTGGTTCCGCCCAACTGCACGTGCCCATCGCACGCGGATACAGTGACAGGTTAGTTGGTATAATCTCGAAACCAAAAACCTAATCCATTATCTCTGGCAAAGCATACAACGGAACAAATCAGTTTAGCAGACGCACTAAATTATACGAAATGATCAATTGAAAAAGTTAATAAAATCTGCACGAGTCTTGTTATATTTTCGAAACATTTAGCGCTGGAATGGTGAGAAGCTCACAAACCTCCTGGGAGAGAAAGTAAATGAGGCAGTAGTTGTTTCAGTTAGCAGCAGTTCCCCCAAACAAACAAAAAAACCTCTCGTTTTCCAGATATATTTATTGTAATCGACTTGAACCCAACGTGTTATACATACATATTATTCCAAAGTAGTTTCCTTACTTTAAGGTGTTGTTTTTTATATCAGGTTCGTGGAGATCTGCGCAACGTCATGTTGAAAATTAAAGCTTACTATATTCACCTCCAGCAGTTGTTGATATCATATATGCTCCCAATAAGATGAGTCTAACTATAACTGTACAGGCCCAGATCTACTTACGCATAATGCACTGGCAGATCTGGGTCTGTGCAGTTTGTTAGGAGCAATCAGTAGAACAAATAACACAGACCATGATCAACAGATGCATTATGCTACAGCAGATCAGGATCTTTGTTGTTTAAAGTTTAACTTGATTTGTGAGCCAGTAAATGCGGTAAGCTTGAAGACAGATACAGGATCGATGGTTACTCCTTTTTCTTTTTGACTGGTGGGTGGGTAGTTTACAGAATGACTGAAAAACCACAATAAATGCTATCGGTAAACACTCCATAAAATCTCACAGAAGTTTTTAATTTCAATTTTGACATATAATTGCTAACATCATGCCGAGGAAATAAGGAATTAAAGTTATTTCCCCAAAAGTAATCGATGAAGCGACACACGTGGACTGGTCTGGACGCGTATCGAACTCGCGACCATTGGATTACGAGTCCTAAGCTTTACCATCTGAGCCACTATTGCACAATTTAAGTAAGTGCTTTTACTAAAGTATTTTCAACGATTATTTGATAATAAGCATTTCTATAGTCACAAATTACACGTAGAAAACTTGTTTGATTTAAATCTATATTTCAGACTCAATTTTAGTTTAGTTGCTAGTGTTCAGTTTAACATAAAAAAACAACTTGTTTATCACAAGAAAAATACGACATTTTTACGGATAAATAGAATATAATTTGCTTTAATTATTCAATTTGACGAGGTCTCCAAGAAATGGTTCCAAAGTCCAAAATATTCACCCATTGTAAGTCTCGAGCCTAATTATACAATACTCGACTTATTAAACCACTTCTCGTGTATACAGCTTAGTACATAGTAATGATTTAACAAACTTAATAATTTAACTGAAAAATTATGTAAATACAATTTTTACAATTCACGTGCATGAATTTTATAACGTATTTATCATTGATTTCACTAAGCTTAGATCTCTCGGAATCACGCTACAGTTTGGTTAACCGAGACTTGGGCAAACTCTAGAATCCTATAAAATGCGCTTGCTTATCTGGATCTCCACTAGCACTATAATCTCTCTCTCTCTCTCTCTCTCTCTCTCTCTCTCTCTCTCTCTCTCTCTCTCTCTCTCTCTCTCTCTCTCTCTCACACACACACACACACGTACGTACGTACGCACATGCATACCCATTAATTAGTATATTCTTCCCTTGGTTCCTACTTGCCGTATTCTGACTGCCTGTCATATAATACTGTACAATATAAACGTAATAAAGTATACGTGGATATGTTTGTGATAGATGAGTCAAAGAAATCTTATAGAACGACAAATAAAACATTCCCAGATATAGTCCTAATGATATTGGCAATGATTTTGAAAGGGCCAGAAAGAAATCATGTTATTAATCAGTATAATTTTCAAACTTTTAATATTTTTAAATGCCTTTAATCCCGAACTGCTACAAGTTAATAATTTACAAATAGTTTTTAAAGAGACTTCGATGTACTTTGGGGTATTTTGTATTTCACCATAGGAATAGTTCTATATAGCATGTGCTATTTATCTTCCCAATTCTTTCATGTTGATTTTACTAATGTAATTTGTTATTCTTTTGTAAACCAAAACCGATTTTTTGGTAACAAAATTCCAAAACCCTTTTCTCATTTTTTGTCAACTTAGCCAATTCTTTTACAAAGCCCCAGACTTTCAACATTATTTATTCTTGCAAAGTCGCCAGTTGGTAAAATTTTAAAACAAAAATTATTTTAAAAAATATTCATGTAAAACTGCAGCAACTCCTAAACATCCCAGAGAACGTTGTTCATGTCGTCTTTTATTGCAATTTAAATGTTAGATCAATAAATAAAAATGAGTTAGAAAGCAGATATGTATATTTTTGTAGCATATGTTTATTTGTTTAGCAAATTTATAATTTATCACGAATACTCTTGATTTTACTAATTTAATAACTCGAGGTTGAAATAATATTAGCTACATATAAAAAGATTTAATGAAATTTAGCTTTATTATACGACGATAGAAAACTTAACATAACAAATTCAGGAAAATTCCACAATTTTGTACTTTTTTATATTTTAAACTCTTAAATCATTTCAGATATATTTTCAGTGCAATATGTACAAAATTATCCAATCGCCGAAGTACTATAAAAAAAAAGTTTGGGGATGTTCGATAGGTTACATGTAACTAGAAAAATGCGATTATTGTTGACGACTAATGATTATTTAACCCATTTTTAAGTTATAATATTTCAAGCCATAAATCTGTATTGAAGTAAATTTACAATCCGTAGCGTACCTAAAGTAGTTGGCACCCCGGGGCGGAGCCTTCATTTGGCACCAGAACACATAATTTTAAAATTTATACACACAAAAGAGAAATGATTGAAAGCATATTTTTTCAACAGTACAATGCTATCATAAGCAAATTCGAAATAACATTTACTTAGCGAATTTTTCATTTGGTTTGGAAACTTGTATTGGTATTTCAACTCAACCGTTGCATCTCCACCCCAACTTTTCTGGATGTTACTCGGGGCGAACACCTCCTTCGCCCCCCTTCCCTTTAGTACGCCAATGTTTGCATTGTACATCCTCGTGGGACAGGTAAAGCAGTAAAAGGAATAACGTACTCGCGATGATATGCATTACATGGTAGATAATCCGTTCGTTCCCAAGAGAGGTTTGCTGGCGCTTACACCCATGTATTACAAAATTCGAACCTTGCCCAGGGTATGCTTGATTCTTTTATTTTAGTTTGCTTCTTTTCCTTGCAATATTTTGTTGCTCGATTTACAAACAACAGAACATATATGCACCTTATTGTTAACATCAATATAGCCTTTTTACAATCTCCATTCAGGGCATTATCGCTTTGTATCCCGCCCACTTTTTGAGCATATCCGAAAACGAGGCTAAAGATTTAAAGCCACTATTTCACAGCATTGCGATGCATATTTTCAACATCAGAAAATATTACATATTGCTGTCATACGTTTGTATATGTTTAACTTTAACAAATCTTCCGTTTAGTTCACATACCTATTTGCTTTGTACGTTTGTTCCTTGTATTTAATGTGTACGTAGAAAAACGTTTCATGTTGTTTCGAATCTATGGTCATAAACTAAGTAACAGGAAGAAGTGAAATCAAAAAGTTTTGTAAAACTTAACAAACACCTTAATTATCAATGCTATACAATGAAGCTATAAGAGAAATTTACAGTATTATGAATTGAATTTTAAAAAAAAACAATGCTGAAAAAGGTTATATTAAGTCCAAAGGAATTAAATGTTCCGTATAAATTTAAAAACCAAGGATAAATTTCTCCAGTACAATCCTGACGTGTCAAAATGGCATTATTCAGAGCTCCTTTGAATATTTCACAACAGTTCGAAATTAATTATATAAACCAATGAGCACTTTCTATTTCCACTGAATAATACAAATGAACATCTTTATTCTCAAATAAGATATAAATACAACATAATATACGTCTGCAGATTTGATGTTAAAACGAAAACAGGAATTAACAATGAGAAAATTGCCCAGTCCGAACTACTTATTTACAGGCGAAAGCCAACACTCACTTTTCCTTTCAGTTTTTTTTTTCTCTGTATTCCTTGGATTGAAAGTCTGTTTCTCGCAGCAGATATCATTGATATATTTTTAACCATATTAACATGTTCTCAGTACTAACAAGTTAAACGGCTAATGACAGTTACACTGAAGAAATAAGTTACGGCTGTTATATCTAATGCAAATCTTAACCCTAAAAGGTCATTGCGTGTTTATTAAGATGATGCACGTTACAATCGCTCGGCTTGTTGGCCACTGGGATTGGATAAACTCATAATAACTGTTATAATGTATTTATCTCCAGCCACTTTTTATCACTATTATTCTTCGTTCTGTTTTTAAGGATATCCTAAAGTTAAAGACATTAATGACCAATAACAAAATGAAGTAGGCTATTTGGATCTAGCAGCCCACCATTGTCTGTAGTACACATAAACGTGCTACTTTCGCATCGTACCGCGGATACTGTTGCCATTCGGACAACCTCAGCAATATACTTAACAAGGATTGATAAAAATTTTGCGTATGTTTCAAGATATTTTTCATTTGGTGGCATTTTATAGTTTCGTAATTTGCATAGAATAAATTTTTAATGAAAAATAATTTCCACTTTTTTCCTCACTGGTTATAATTTGCTATTTAATGGTAAAATCAAATAGCTTTAATTCCCTTCATTTTGGTGTATCAGTATTGTAACATGGGTTATAGAGTATACAACTGGGCAATAGTTTAGATGTGCATCTTTCAAAAATTGCTAGCTCCGCTTCGTTACTTTCACATCCTGGACTTGTAGGTAAATAGTTTAAATAAAGAGCCGATAACAATTGTTTTAACATTTGATATATTTGGTATTAAATCATTGCACTTTCAGAAGCTGGTATTATCTAGTCTGGCAAAAATTTATTTTCCCTATGTTAATAACTGCTAATGATAGTGTTCTTGAGACTAATTCAAGATGAATTTTGTTAGAACAAGGGATCAGTCAATTTAGATAGCTATGTGCTTAGATGATGTACGATTTCCACAAGCACACTAATCTAAGACATTTCAACCCACAGTACATGAACACAATATAAGGGTAAACCAACATTTTCTCCATTGTGTATGTTACAAATGTAAACAACTTCACCACACTCTCTCAGAAGTTTATACAATACATAGAACGCCCCCTTTACAATTTCTCGATCAATCTCATGGCGAATCCAACGGAAGAAATATTCGAGGTGGTCCGAATAAATATGCAGAGGGGTTGGGGGGCGAAGAAAGGCGAAAAAGCTTTATATTTCCGTAAATTATCACGCCGACATGCATACGATATTTATCTCGCATTAATATAAGAGGTGTTAGGTGGACACGAAACAAACGCTTTGTCTCTTTTTTCGTTCTTTTTTATCAGCTAGATAGACCCGCTTTATCTTTTTGAATATCGTCGATTGCTGAACCCATCTGTTATTAAAAAAGGGAAATATTACATGCATTTGCCTATTACATACAAAAGATAATAATAATAAAAAACAACGCAACTTAATCGGCACGTGCCATTTCAATGTTGGATCAGACTTGACATTATGCATTTGATAGCTTCGAACCAGCTGGAATCGGTCTGTGCATGTATGAATGAAGAACGAAGAAGAACAATTTAACTTTACCGCACGAAATATTGAAGACTAGATAAAGCCAGATTTTCTTATATTAGGGTTATCTTGGCATTATCCCAAGCTAATGTGAGGCCGGTTGTGATGTTGCTTCGAGCAGCTGCAAGAAAATTATGGAACATGTACTTTGATTTATACTCCCAAAATTCACATCCATGCAGTGAGGTACTAAGGGGAAATGGTCATCGGACCCAGTGACGTAAATGGCGCCCAAGGCGAAGATGACGGCCCAATGGACCAAAATACGATGGCC